ATGAACGAGTCGTATTCAATTTTTATATAGTTCTTTGCCCACGTCTGCGTTGAAATTTTGATTGTACTGTACTTTTATTGTTTCTCTATAGAAATTTGACAGAAATATTCTCCCTTTCACTAAAATTGATTTTAGGTTTGTTTATTAAGTAGGTACTACGTTCTCTGCAACTATTGACTTTTCTACATTATTATCGTTTAAATTAAACTTGTGTTCTTTTAACCTTCATCTTTGTTCAATGTATAGTTTTGCGGATGCTTAAAGTTTATTTTTTTCCTCAGGTGGTTTTTGAAAGGGTTGCTCCACTATCTTCTTTGAAGTGCAATACTTGGTATTAATATTTTGGTTTCTTAAGAATCAGTATTACCTTTCTTATATAACATATAGGTTCTTGTATCAGATATTCCTCCTCTTTAATTTAAATGTCCTTATGACATAAAAAACTGTTAAGCTGATTTGAGAAAGTAAGTAAGTTCATCATATGTGTTTTGACTCTCAGTCTAGGGACTTTAGTACCAAATAAAAGGAGACGTGTACTGTAACCAAAGTTTAAGATCTATATCTTTTAATTACTGTCGTTATTAATTCATTAATGACACTGTAGAATATAAAATAGAAAAGGTTTATCAGCTGGGAGGAACTCGTTATCTGAATCTTCTTAAGCATAACTAAAGCATTTGGTAGTTATGACGCCATGAAGACGCTGGTTGACAGCATGGACTAACCTGTTCCATCATAGGAAGGTGGGCAGAGATTATGTTATCTCACAGTCAAGTGTACACTTCCCGCAATGAGAATACAATTAGGATGACTGTGGATTGAATATGCTCTAGTTGCTGTTTGCATCATTCTTGAATTATGCTTAAGGAATGGCACTCTATTTCTCTTGTGTTGCAATCCAAAGTTCATTTCTACTTCAATTGGAATTTCTTTGTTATATGCAGTGTTTAGCTGATTCCGCATATGTTCTGTTGAATTTAAGTTTAAGCAATATTGGAATCACTATATCAGCTGATGTATATGGTCGGGCATGGATACAAATCTTTAATATCCAATAGCCAACATGGTATATGGTAATATGTTCAAACACTTCTACCAGTTTCCAACTAATACTTTCCCAAACTATGTATTATACTGCCATCTCCAAAACTTACACTTTGTACAAGATTTCAGCTGAGATACCATTATTCAACTCTTCTTAGATGTTGTGCCTATTTGGTTTCCATAACTCAATTCTGATGGTTGAGCAGGAATTAATTAATATATAAATATCGTTAAGCCTTTGGGGTAGACAACCAACCTCGCACGAAATTAAACTTTTTGTTTGCGTTTTTTAGCACCACTTCTTAAGCTAGCAAGTGTTTTTTATTCAGTTCTTTTGCTCGGCTAATAATAGTTATAGAACTATAACTGTATAACAGGCCAGGTTCTTGCCTTGGTGCTAGGTAGAGTTGACTATTTATTATATTGTAATATTCTAAGAGCCCTGCTAAATTTCTAGTGAGGTTAATTGAAGACCCTACCAAATTAGCTCACCCCCAGTCGTATTTTTTAGTCTTTGAAAAACTGTAGTCTTTAGGAAATATCGGAGGAAGAAAAAATGTTTTTCATTTATTGAGACAAAAGAAAGAATCCTGAAATTGTTCCATCATTGTTTACTATGTTTTTAAGTTTATGACCACTATAAATTAAATTTTGTTTTCCAAGGATTTCATAATGAAGACTTGTAATTTAAAGTAAAATTAAGACACACCACTAAAATCATAACTTTTTATTTACTCAAGTGTGTATAAATAATACATATTGCTATTGTCATGGTGTTTACAAATTTATTTATATATCTAAGACTAGTATAAACAAATAAAAAAAAAGAATTATATTTATACAATTTTAGTATTTTAAAATTGTTAATTAAAAAAATCAATATTTCATCCATTTAAGTCATTTACAATTTTAAGTTTTATAAAATTTAATTTTGTGTTAGTGAGGTTTGTCGTGTATTTTATTTTTATAAAATTATAATATTTAGTGATATCTAACTTGGCACTTCTACAACCAGTTTTAGGAAAGATTCCAACAAGATGAAATATTTTAAGATTTAATATTCTGAAGACAGTGGTGTACCCAAACATAATTTACCATTGGTTGTGGTTATTAGAAGAATCTGGTCTGCAGTACACATGAATCATTATTGACGCCACAAACCATAAGAGAGAACATAAACTTTAATAATGCCTGTACTGTATGTAGATTTTGCTAATTTTAACAATTCAGTTTTTATGATTTAAAGATATATTATTGTAATGTTGATCCAGGCATTATATTGCATAGTAACTAGAGAGGTTACATTTTGAAAAATTAAGTGTTGATAAAAATTTAAATATAAAACATTTTCCATTTTTTTTTAGATATTTCTCTCGCATTTAGAATAAAGATCCAGTCAACGAGTTGATGTTATAAATTTAATTTTTACAAACTTTTTTACCCTTTTTGGAGCAAAGGGTTAATAATTTAAAATTGGCTTTTATTTTCAGTGTGACCGAAATACCAAATTAAAAAAAAAATCCCTCAAATAAATATTTACAGACAATATCTTTAAATATTTCATTTTCTTTATTGTAGCCATATACTAATATATGTACTTACAATATTTCCCTTTCTTTAACTGGCAATGAGCACTTCTGCTATACAGTAAAGGAAAAAAACCTTCTTGTCTAAAATATTTTATTTATTTGTTTCCTTTTTATTTTCAATGTGGCAGAAAAAAAATGCCATTAATAAGTATAATTGGTAATTGCATAGAATAACTTGAAATTATATTGTAATTGCACCTATTCAAAAATTTATCAAGCGGTACAAAAACAATTAGGTAATATCTCATTCTAGTTGAAGATCCACCTAAGTGTATAAGTAGGTTCTTAGATGAACTGGTGTCTGGGTGCATATTACAAAACATTTATCTGCCTTTCAATATATAAGACGAACATTATACTACAGAAAACATAGAAAAATACATAATTTATTACAATACTTGTAATGATGAGTGATACATACAAGGATGAAAAACGTAGGCAGTAATATGTTGTGATTCATGATAGAGTTATTATTATTGTGGCCAGAGGAACATCATTTAAGTGTCAGAAAACTCCAGAATTGTTTAGTGTTGAAAAACTGCAGATTAGCAATTTATTGAAAAAGGAAAATTAAAAAACCTATTGAGAAGAATGGAAACGTAGAGCAAAAAAGAAAATTTCCAAAAACAGCTGGTTTTGCCATTGATAAAGAAACAGTTATTAATTGGTTCTGTAAGATATGAGCCAGAATATTCACATATTTGGATTTCTCCTCAAAGAACAGGCATTCGAAATAGCTGAAAGTTTGCCACTAATAGATTGTAATAAAATTCCAATTGTTGAAAGGCATTATTGATTGTATTGATGAAATCTGTGATCAAATTAAAACTGAGATTGAAAAATAGGAACATACTGCATTTCAGAAGCTCATAAAAAGATATTAAATACCTTTAGAATTATTTTTCGAATTTTAGCAACTTGAACATCGTTTTTTCTTCTTGAATGTATGAACAAGTACATATTTTTAATTATTAGGTAACATAATAAATTTATGTAATTTTAATTATTTTTTATGCATTTTGATAATCATGTAAGTATTTATTTTAATACCTATATATCAAATAAAATGGAACCGGTCTTCTTTTTTATTATTTATCCCTCTATCTACCTCTAAATAATGGACATCTCTGTATACTGGACATTTCAGGATTCATTGTGGGTGTCCGCTAGTAGGTTATATACTGAAAGAAATCCACCAATTGAGGGGCTTTGCTAAGATATTTTAGCTACAGTAGGTAAAATTTTTGCTGTCACAGAAAAGAATTCATGCTGCCACAAGTACGTTTTGCTGAGACGTGTTGCTACCACAACATAAAAATGTCTTGTGGCTATATGATAGTTCATTTGGAATTTTATTTTAGTCGACTGTCTATCTGTTCCAAGTGAATTGCTTTGCTTGGGTAGGTGAATGTACTTTTTTAGAATTGATTCAATTGGGGTTAGTTAGTCCTCATTTGTAGCAAATTAGGGCTCACTTACTGTAGCTGAGGCCTCACTTGATAATTTCCAGAATAAACCGGAATTCGGCTCAGAGCGCATTCGCGATTACGCGTGCCTTATGTTGACCATGGTTTCGCCCATAGAGAAGTTAGAAGTTTCGCCATTTTGCTGTAACACGTAACACGGGATATATGTCTGTCAATCCTTAGTCGTTGGGTCCTTTATAATAAATAGATGTTTTATGATCGAATGTTTGGTCAGTAGTTTGAAGATATGTACAACATTTTCGTTGCATTGCATGGTGCACGAAGAGTGAGGAGAGCCAACAACACCGAAAAATAGTAAATACTGTGTTGATTCTCTTGGAGTTAATGAGTTGACTTTATTAGGGTTAATAAGTTGACTCGCTTGGGGTTAATGAGTTGACTCGCGTGGAATTAATGAGGACTCGCCTGGGGTTAATGAGTTGACTCGTTCAGCAAAGAGATTACAGCAAAACTGTCTACTTACTGCAAGTGAGTTCCTTTCAGCAAAGCAGATTTTCTTGTGGTAAGAAGTTAATGGATTTTTACTAACCATAGCAAAGAAATTCCCTCAATGTACTTTATATGTATACTTAGTATATATCACTGACACACCATTTTTTAACACCCTGCAATCTGGACAGTCCATGTGTCATTTAAACTGAGATATATGTATCATCATTTAAGGAAAGGGACATACATTTTGAGTGCCTTTATTCCATTATGCACTGTATTAGTTGCTGATATGCAGGTGTTAATTATTACGCTTGCTTTTGTAAAGAAGCATGGAAGTTAATTTTCACAAACTAAGAGGACTCCCCAAAACACTTCCCACACCACTGTCTACAGATAGGTAACAAGAAATCTTATGACTTTTGACTATGTGCAATAAATTTCATTTAGAAATTTATAAACTTTATTTGTAATAAGAAATCATATAATCCTTAAAATAAACATAACATTCTTTGGTAACATAAAACACAGTTAACAATTAAATAATAAATTTTGCAATTGCTACAGTCCACAACGTGATGTTATTATACTATGTTTTTTTAAAAAGGCACTTGATTATAAAAACATTATTTACAATTACATATATACAAACAGTCTGAAACTTTCATTTAAAAAATCTTTATGTAATAATTAGTAATCTCTTAATATATTACAATATCACAGATATTTACTTCCTTATATATATTAACTTTGTTTTGAAAAACTAGATATGGAAAATATTTCGAAGTTTTGAACAGTACTGAAAGTAGCTGAAAAACTGGCCTATGTTTTACAATTGGCACAAAATTGTGATAAATTTAAAACAACTTTTCTATGTACTCAACATTTTCATAGTACCTAATTACTACAGAGATTAAGGTACATCCAAAATTATCATTAAGATTTGTAGGTATTACAGTTGCTCATTTTATGCACACGTCATGTTAATAATATCAGTCAAGTTTTACAAAAAATCTCTGTTGATTAATAATAAAAGTATGATTAATGGGAACAGGTAGTTAATGAAGTTGACGTGATTGCTTGTACTCGCACTAACTTGGGTATGAACCACACTGGCTACTGTTAAGGAGCTTAAACTTAATTCACTGGCAATCCGTGGACTTTGCATGTTCACTAAACTTGCGATTTTTTCAGCTTCTCTTATGCAAGCTTCGAGTTGAAGCTCTGATGGGTATCTAAAAAAAAATATTTAGTAAATATATCGTGAATTTACATGACGCACAAAAAGGTAAATGCAGCAGTAATAAGTAGTACTCATGCAGTAAAAACTGCTATAAGATGATTACAAAATATAATTGTTTCAGAAATAAAATAAAAATAATGTCCTACAAAGAAAATGGTTTCTGCAAATTATACACGGTGGTCAAGAAATTCTAATTGGATATAATGAACAAAATGAGCTTAACAAACATCTACAGACGTCTAAAATATAGCAGAAATAAAAAGATAAAAGCTCAAGGTATGTAGAAATTAAAATTCGATTCAAAAGTTTAAATTATTATTATTTACTGGTACTCATTAATATGTCTGAATAAATGGCTAACTTACCTCTCTGTACTCTGCACAGTTACAAATATATCTAATTCCACTGTTACAAAGCCTCTCAATGTGCATTGAGCTAACTGAATTTGACGTTCTAATGCACGCAGAACTGATATGAGATTCAATGACTTGGTTGTCTGATTCTGTAAAGCATATAAAGCCCTGTCTATTTGTTTTCTTGAGTATAATATGCGGAGTGATCCTCCACAAATTGGACAGCATGCCCCAGGAGGTGTAATACCTACAAGAAATAAATGTGATACCTTTTAATACATCTCAAGCACCAATACATATGACTACAAACAAAGGTGACACACAGATAATGACGTCATATGGCCTAGGATGTCACACAAAGACAGTACATGCAAACACCTACACCTAAATACCATGAAAATAAATACGCCACAAACACAAAGATGTCACGCTATAAATACGCTTAGACAGTGATGCCACAAACACAAAAATGCCACAGTTAATAATACTACAGAAAAGGTTACAACAAAGATGAAACAGACATAGAGTATAATACTGACAAAGAGGCCATAACCAACAACACCACACAGACAATGGCCACATGTCATAGACAAAGTTCGCAGACAATATAACTGTAGGGGAGATAGGGGAGCATTGGGCACTTTTCTACTTAAATCAAAATAAAACTGTTATTTTTTAATAAAATCAACTATTTATTTCTAATATCAATGGCACATACAATTGACTCAAATTATTGCGACGAATAGTTATACAAATGTAATCAGTCTCAAAGTTACATGATATTTCCTGAACCTTGCCATAAGTGCCCAAACCTCCCAATGGTTGGGTGGTTTGGGCACCTCTGTGGGAGGTTTGGGCATTGTATTGCATACGCCACATAATATCTACTAAATTATTTTGATATGTTATAACTAAAGTAACTTAACAAATAATAAAGATTAGATGCTCAAAAATCAGTATTCTTACATAAATAATAAAACTTATCTAACATTTGGTTAGATAAGTTTTATTATTTATAATAAGGCCATAGGCTTATTAAAAGTGTATTTGGAGTTGCCACGTTTGATCCATATTTTTGGTTGTGGCAATTTAGTTTTAATGTCTGTTAATGGGACACTTGACATGTCTTCGATATCGGGATACATAAATGTATTTCGAATCTTGCTCATACGCAGAAATTTAACAGTTGCCATGGAGGGATCAACTTCTTTAATTTGTCCAACATAGTGATAGGTAGTTTTTTTGGTGTCAAATTTGACCAAGACATAATCGTTGACTTTGAAATTTCGATCTAAAATAATAACATCATCTTCGTCAAACGATTCTTCTTCTGATGATTAATAATGGTGGGAGCATTGGGCATGCCCAAACCTCCTTTCAATATTAGTGCCCAATGCTCCCCATACCCTCGTTTTGCAAATTAATCCAAATATACATTTTATTATTCAAACATTATGTATCAATTTATAGGTTAATATTATCTTCGATAAACACACATTTACGTATAATCAAAGAAACTTACGCCTTTTCACAGATTGCTCTGTTATTTCCTTTGAAATCACAACAAAATATTTACTTTTGGGTGCACGAAACCGTCAACCGCATGACACACTGACAACTAAACGAAATGACAAATGACATTAGTCTAAGCAGTGTTGCCAGTTGTTAAACTAAACTACCACAGTATACAAAAATAAATATCTACTACACGTCTCTAGTTACAAGGTGGTGCCCGAACCTCCCGACTGCCCAATGCTCCCCTATCTCCCCTATACAAATATGTCAGTTAATAACCAGAGAACGATACAGACAAATATCTTATGTGTTACAGATGGTACAAACAGATAGTAGGAACTTTTTTGTTTGTTTTCCGGAGTGAAAAAAACCTATTTTTACAATTTGTTTAAAAAAGTTTGTTTAAACAAATGGGCACCAGATTTCCGGCCGGCATCATCTCGATTCATGTTAAGGAACATCTCACGAATCTGAATATGCAAAAAACTCAAATTGGAAAATTTCTCCCACGAATGCGAGGTTTTCGCCTTGTCTATATAGAATAGATGGAACCATCGTTGGTTCAAAGATTATACAGGCGAAGACAAAACATACAACGACAACACAGCTAAAGATGAAATGACCAAAGATGAAACAGACGAAAACAAAACAGACAAAATTAAACAAATAAAAGCTATATAGACAGAGATAGCACAGATAAAGATACAATAGCCAAGGAATGACACAGACAAAGTAGTACAGACAAAAGCCGATCTAGATCAAGACAACACAAAGATCCTATAAAAAAAGATAAAAGATGAAATACTATACAGATCAAGAGGGCATAGATGACGATTGTACAGGCAAAGATAATACAAAAATGGTACAGACAATGGCAGTAGAGACGAAGATCATACAGACGAGTACAGTACAGACAGGCAATACAAAGACGAAATAGACAAAGATGGCAGTTTCACGTGATACAGACCAAAACAAAGTAAACAAAGGTGATACTATAGCAAACGGTACCAGCAACGAAGATAAAGATGAATGATATAGACAAATATGATGCAGATAAAAATACAGAGAAAGACGGTGTAGATAATACAATCAAGACGTAACAGACAAAGACAGCACAGTAGTAGAAGGTATCAGCAATCATGACAAAAATGGTTAGACAAAGATAGACAAACACAATACAGACCAAGATAAAACAGACACATGCGCACAAACACGGATATGCCACAGACAAATACAATGGTATGGACAAGAGACAGATAAATATTGTGCACACTAAAATGGTAGCTAAGTGGCACAGAGAATGATAAAACAAATATAACAGTACAGACCAAAATATCACAGAAAAAGTATAGACAAAGATCAGAACAAGAAGACAATACGATCCAATAGGTATAGACAAAGTCAGCATAGACAAAGACAAAACAGCCAAAACAATGGAATAAAAAAGCTACAATTACACACACAGTGAATATAATTGAAAATACAGCAATTAAAGGATACAACAGAGAAAACGACACAGATAATGATAATAAAATATAGACACCACAAACAAAACAATACAGACAGAAATGCCTTGTAGACAAACAAGACAAAGACAATAAAGACAGAAAAAAATGATACAGACGACAAAGCAATCGACGCCAACGACACAAACAGTACAGACAAGGATGATACAAACAATCGTTAGGTACAGAGCAGGATGATACGAACAAAAACATAACTCAAAGGATGCTAGAGACGATACAGTCTTTTGTGTTGTTTCGTCTGTCTCTGTAACATCTTTGTTTGTATCATCATTATTTGTATCGACTTTAACAATATCCATTGTTATCATCTATAACCTTTAAGTCTGTTTAGAGTTTGTGCCTGTATTGTCTTTCTCTGTAACTCCTTTGTCCGTATTGTCATTGCTTGTAGCATTTTTGTCTGAATCATGGCTTTGGTGTCTTTGTCTGTGATTGTTGTCTGTATCTATGACACTACCATCAAAATCTCTGTTGTTTGTATCGTATATATGTCCATCTTTGTCATCAGTATTGTTTTTTTGCTGTTTCATCTTTATAACTATTTTGTCTTGGTTTATATTGTCAGTATCTGTGCCTTATTTGTCTGTACTGTTTCTGTCTCTATTTTCCTTATCTGTTTTGTCTTTTCTATATCTCCAACTATATTGTCTTTGTCTGTCTTGTATTTCTTCTGAGCTATTTTTGTCTGTATAATTTCTGGCTATATCGTCTTTGTATGTATAATATATTTTTTTTCTGCATTTTCTTTGCCAATGCCATTTTTGTATGTTTCATCTATTTTCTCATCATGCCATCTTTGTTTGTGCTGATTTGGACTTTAAACATATTTGCCTTTATCCTCTTTGTTGTCATATTGACTGTTTCAGTCATCTTTCGTAGTTGGATCTAATGTTATATAGTAATCTAACGTCCTGTCTCATAAGATAATCTGTTGTGTGTTTTAGTCATGTAATTTAATTTAGTCCTTTTTGTAGTCTAATCTAGTTCAGTTTTACAATCCCTTACTTATAGCCTATTTCTCGTCTCATTTGAGGGGGTAATAGTAATAATTTTTTAATTCAGTTTCTTCTTGTTGCTGTTTACTTTTCTGTTATTTAGTTTTTTTAACTTGTTTGTCTTTGAATTTATTTGTCTGCCTAATATATCAATTTAACGTATACATATATTTCTGATATATGACTGATTTTTTGAAGTAGGTTTAAATAGGTATACGTATATTAAATCATTTTAATAAAAGTCTTACCTAAACAGTTGGGATTCTGCAATATAGGACACTTAACACCAGAACACTGCTGTGCTTTAAGTTGAGTTATCAGCCCAATTGCTAAGCATGGTCCTTCATAGTCCACTGCAATTTTATCAGCAAAAGCGGCACACTCTGATACATAGGTTTTTCCATTAAATCCGCATACTTGACCTTTAAATTTACACCTGTGTAAGCATGAACCTCTGTAAGCCAACTTGACATTATGATGTGCTAAAAGGCATGAGTTATCATACTGTTTGTTGTCGATGTCACAAACAGGATCTTTTGGGAGGTCATAACAATTGGATGAACCATTAACTGTAATAAATAGTATTGTAATATGTTTTATTTCTTATATCATGTGTACTTACTGCATTCATGTTGTTTGCAGGGCTTATGCATGAGACTCAAACACACTTGAGGATTTGGCACACATTTCTGGCCAATGGGACAAGTATTTGGTTTACAAGGATTTTGGCAGGGATAGTGTTCAATATCTGAATCGTTTAAATCCGCACATCTGAAAATAAGAAAAATTAAGTTACATTTCTATATTGTAATAACATTTATCTTAAAATTTTGCAAGTCTACTGACAGTGCATCAATATTTATTCTCACACTATTAATAATACTGTCAACATTTTGAAAGACCAACAGAATAATACTGATTGTGTCAGGCCCATATTAAACACTCCAACAAGAATAATAAAAAACTATAAAATGCTCATTGTTTAATGACAAAAAATTGACCTTTATGAACTTAACGAATAAGACAAGAATGTACTCCAAAAAATATAACTAGAACTTACTTTGCAAGACAAGCAGAAGGGTACGTAATTCCATTCCTTCCACAAACTGGCACATAATGTGGTGGACAATTGCAAGGCAATGTAGTATAAGCAGTGTTCCTCCCAATCAGAGAACTGCTTTCACACTGCTTCTTGCTACATATCTGTTCACCAGCGTAGCAGCTACATTTGTTGCAATCGATGTGAAAGGTAGAACCATGTAACTGCTGGGTACTACCGAGAAGACAAGACGTAAGTGTAATGCACGGTAAGGGCTGGCACTCTTCGACCTTATTCTTGTTACATTTGCATATTTTTAAACAGCCCTTCGGATTATTTGGTAAGGGTATTCGGACATATGTTCCGTCTGGTACCATGTATTGGGAAACTTCGCCTATTTGTACAAAATTAAAAAATATATATTTCAAGTTCTTTTGAAATGATTCATTGTTCTTACATACGTTTTTTAACAATGGTTGCAAGAGAAAGATGAGTTTTTAATAATTAATAGAGCACGATACTTGCATGTGAAGTCAGTGGCGACACATGTGTTAAATACAGAGCCTTTATAAATGATTACAAGCCACGTGACCAGTAATTTTGTTTGGAATAGTAATTTTATTTTCTTCACGTTGGCAATTAAATTCAGGTAAAATTAAAACAATAAGATTAAAAATACATTAAAACGCCACATTCTGATTGGTGTAATTTTTAACGAATTCTATTCAAGCAATCAGCGATAGCATTATCTCGAGCGTAGACGCTCATAATATGTCATTGTAAACGAATTATTAATATTGGTGACACTAAGATTTAGGGATTTTCGGTTGGCAGTACCAACCGTGCATTGTTGGTTGCCTAAGCTCGGAGGTCACGTGGCTTGTAAACATTTATGAAGGCTCTGTATATATGTGCTAAAATAAACTTAGGTGAAAAGTGGCCACATAATAGGCTAGCGGTGCACCCCTAAAAAAAGCGCACAAAAACGAGTGGACAAAATGAAACCTTTTCTAATCGCTATATTAAATACGCTGTTGCGAACAAAAAACCTTAATGACATTTTTCTGTATCGATGGTCAGTAATTTGTTACTAACAAAAAACTTTTAATTAATGGTAATATCGTATATTAGTATCTAAGATTACCAATACAAACCTCACATTTAAATGAAAATAAATAAATTTAATTTTGTTACAAGAAAAATTAAAAAAGCTCCAGTACAATCCGAGAAAATTAAAATTGAAAATAGCGACTTGGTTATTTTTTGATCTTAAATCTCTCGTAGCTAGAAAAAATCACAAGAGTTAAAAAGTGCTTATTTTTGCTCAAAATACATAACCAATGTGTTTTCATATCGATTTTTTAAGTTTTCGCAGTTTTGCAAGTTTTTGGTTAGTAACAAATTAGTGGCCATCGATACAGAAAAATGCCATTAAGGTTTTTGTTCGCAACAACGTAATATAGCGATTAGAAAAGGTTTCTTTCGGCCCCCCTCCGTGGTCGGTCCCCTAGTTTTTTTGTGCGTCTTTTTAGGGGTGCACCGCTCGACTATAAGTTTATCAGTGGCAACGTGTGTTGCTTTTATCACGTCGCGAAAATGGCGTTTTCGGCGAAATAAACCGGACATTAGCAAAAAGACGGGTTTTTCGAGAGAGTTGACGGTGCAGAGCCTTTTTGAAGAGCAAATTTCGGCTTTAAAGAGTAGAAAATTCGCCGCAAAACTACGCCTAACGGAGGAAGAAAGGACGAAAGTCGGGCGTAGTAGCGAAGAGAATCGCAGATTCGCCCCATAAAAAAGGAATTATGTGTCGATTTTATGAAACTTATATTTGGAGGGCTCAGAAGATAATCAGTATATGTAACTGAATATATAGAAAATGAGAAAATTGGCTAAGTATTTTTAAAACTTGTAATAAAATAAAGATTCCCATAAAGATACTAATAATTATTTTTAATGAGATATAACATTTCATACATTCATACATTCATACATTTCATAACTTTAAGAAGAAACCTTCAATACGTAACTCAATTTCCAGAGAAAAGGGACTTACACTGATTGGCTTCTGAACCCTCCATATGAAAATACAATCAATGGACTGGGAGAATTATTGGCTACCTAGGATTTCTATCAAAATAAACAAAATTGTTCATTATCGCCCACATATGTACATCGGAATATGATGTACCTATATTAAACATAAAAATTAGGTCATACAGAAATACCCTGAACTGATTTTTTTTGTATTTGACTCTCAGTGTGTCTTCCCCATTAATGGGAATTCCAGCCAAAGAAAATAATTCCAACAAATATTACAACTTGTTTACTGCACCATCAACGCGTAAATCAATCCATGAAATACATAGATTATATCATCTTATTTGTAGGCGACACTTTTACCTATGATTGTCACCAATGATCTGAATTCAACCAAATTGCTCAAGGAAAATTTGATTCTAAACATATAAATGCAAAGAAAATATACATCAAAAGTGAAACCATAAGGGAAGTGATGATCTATCAAACAGCTGTTGAATATCTGCAGCACTTCCTTAGCATAAGAAATTCAATACTGTGATTTATTGGCTTAAAAGTTTTTGAGTAAGTCTATATGATTGAATCCATCTTTAATATAGATCAGTATTTGTCATATGTAGAATAAACTTACCTAATTTACATCCGGGTTGGCAAATATATGGCTGACAATTAGTCCCATGAATACAATTTTTATTGATCAAACATATTTCATTAGCCTCACACGGATTGCCTTTGCAGGGGCTAGAGATCTGTCCTGTTATTCTCGGATAAGTATAAGAAGACGGATTAAGATAATTCTGTAGTTTAATGCAGGAAATATTTGGATCTTCTGGAGATAAATTTTCGCATATAGATTCGGCCGAATAAATGGGAGACAATCTTGTCCAGTCTACACATTGCGATAAAATGTCTAAACATACGTCTCGGCAGATTTGGTTTGCATGAGAATGACGGGAACATGGTTTTATCTGTAGTGTACAAGCCACTGCCTTCCACACATTTGGTGAACATTTTGATATGCTTTTTAAAGGCAGTGTTAATCCCGGTCCTAAAAATCAGTTTCTCGTATCAATAATTTCAAATATGTATAGTTACAAAAATCTTATATAGGTATATGATTAAAAAAGAGTTTTTACCTAAGGTGATGTTATTTTGGCTCTGCCAAAGAGTTACGTCATTTCTTGCAGCTTCATCTGCCTGCGAGGTACACGATCGAAAAAGTTCAGTCGGCCGGTTATTGAAATTCGTGCAAAAACTTAATCCATCACAACCTAGTTCGCATGGTTCATCCACTGCAATATCAACCTTTATTATAATATTGTTACCCCACTTAATGTTTGATTCTCACCTTCATCAATACAGGTCCTTAAACCTTCTTCTGAAACTTGAGTTAGACATTTATAATGGAAGTCGTCCCAAGATGTCGCCCAAAATTTCGTAAACGTCTTGGAACACAATCTTGCACATTGCGTAGAATTCGCTCTTTGGCAGCAGTGCCACTTGGCACTATCCATTCCAACTCTATCTATCCGAGAGATTTCCACTGATGTTGATACCGGACCTATGTCCGGTTTTAGGAAACACTGCCAGAAGTATTCCTAAAGCAAAACAAATCCTTAATGCAGGAGTACAGAAAGTTTAAAGGAAAGTTGGTATACATAATAATATAGGAATGGGGAAGTTTGAATATTACAGAGGAATATTAGGAGAAGTTAAGGTCGAATTAGTTTGACAAGAAACAGTTTTCAATACTTTTTTTTTAAACAACTGCTTCACAGCAAAACTAATGAAAAATAATTTAGTGAAAACAGATTGCTTTTCTATGACAACGACGTGCTATTTTAAAGTCACCATATTTTTTTGATGTCGATGTGGACGAAGTGCCAAACATTAAAAATTTGTTTTTAATTTTTTTTATTTTTTACATGATTTACTACATATTAACCAATTTAGTATGTAGATACGTTACAATTATAAATAAATATAATTTGTGATATAAAAAAAAATTTGCTGTTTTAAAAACCTAACAAAAAACAAATGAAAATACTAATGTGATTAATAGGAAATCATGTTTTAAAATATTTCAAGTTTTTACAAATATTTATCTATCTTTTTTAAGCAGCGCATATTTTATTTTTGAATGTCAGTGTCAATGATCTCTGACATTGACTTAATTTAGCTGAATTATATTACTATCACTCGTATAGGCGACGCGTATGTAAAGAAATACGGTATGTTTACACTTTTTTCTTATTCAGCGAATTAATTGGTAGTAGATATTGTAGTAACACATTTCAAAAATTTAAAATTCGGCACGAATTTACTTAGTTGAATAAGAAGAAGAAGAAGAAGAGGAGATCGGTAGTAAGGCGTTGAGTGTTTTTAAGCAAGAAGAGCGCCAGAAGAAAAGGCCCTAGCCGGCGGGGCCCAGCCAGGACAAAAGGAGGTCCCACAAAGCGCCTACACCGGCCGTATTTGCGGTCGGGGTAGACGACGGATGGGGCCCACCTACGAAGGCTGTCCAGGCCTAGACGAGATGAGGCAGGATAAAGAGGGATAATCCCCCTCGATCCCAAATCATTGAGGCCAATTTCTAGCCATGGAATACTAAAGTTTTTGAGCAATATGAAAAAGCATGTATATATGAATTAAGAAAAAGTTGATATGATTAAAGCCTACTTTTGTCCGGAGAAAACAGTTCCGCTGCAAGAAGACGAGATCAACCGATTATCCCAAAGAGCAGTATCTCACGGCGGGTGATGTGAAATTTGCTTTTTAATAATATTTCCTTTAAATTATGAGAATTGACAACAATGAATAGCCCAGTTCTCAATTGTGCATGCGCTGTTGTTTGAGATCACACTAGCTCGTCTAACGGAGCGGCAGGGTAGGAAAATTATTTAAAAAATGTTAAAAAAATAAGTTTTCACAACTGATTTGCTAAAATAAACTATTGATACGTATTTCAAAAGGTCACAGATGGAATCTGTAGAAATATCGCGATCCGTTACTGAAATGCTGATTTCCACATCTCACTGTATTCCTGCCATTTCGTTCAGTGCTGATTACAAAATTAGGAGCTCAGTTAGCTAAATGTCGATGGTATTAAGCGACACGGTAGGGATAAATTTTGAATTTGGTATCCTACGTAAAAACGTTGAGTGAGGTACTATTTCTCACACTACGGTAAAAATCAGAAAATTATTTATTAAATGTCTGGACACATATTAATTATAAAAAATTACCGCTATCAAGATGACATTTGTTATTCGTTATTCTATTTTAGTTTTTTTAATATTTTTAATTTTAAGATAACTGATTAAACAAATTTAGTAACTTAATTGAAAACGTAAATTTTACATTTTCATTTTCGACTTAAGAAAAAGTGTCACTTTCGTATAAATCGATTCATCCGTGAGAAAATCGTTACGTGTTTCGATCCGATTGAGAACGCTAGCAATGACACTTTTTCTCAATGCTCCATAGTAAATGCACAAGAAATCAGTAAAATTTTAAAAAGCAGAATTTATAAATATATGGAAACAAGATAAATAATTATTATTTTTTCGCGACACAGTTTGTAATTCAGATGCGAAGAAATTGAATTTTTTCTCTAATTGGCCCTTGAATAAGTCGTTTTCGTACTATAAAAAAAATTGAAAATGTTTAAAAAAAACTCTTCATTTACTGCTTATTTAGATGGCGCCTAAATGTCCTAAATAGCTATAGGACACGCATTTACCCAGCACTAATTGTAAGAGCAATAACCGATGGCACAAAAAAATTATGTAATAGAAAGATATACAGGGTGGTCCGAATTTTATGAAGGAAACTTCGAGGGTAGATAGATCTCTTTAAAATAACATGTGTTTGCCTTATAAACAAAGGTATGGAACGGCCCCGTTTTAGAGATACAGGGTGTGAGGTTTAAAAAAAATGATTTTTTGTTTATATCGCACACTACCTCACAGGTGGTGTAGAAAGGAGTGTAAATAATTTTGCTGATGTGCTTACAAATTGCATTTACTTTTAAACATAAACAAATATTCTTGTAATATTATCGTCACAAGCGTCACCAATACAATCCCCACAAGGGGATTGTATTGGTATGAATAAAGTCACCTTTTTTTACGTATTTTGTGCATTAAAATATAAATCAGTTACAATGACATGTAAAAAATGCAGTGGCGTAGATTTTTTTGTAAAAAAGAGGGTGACCCCTGTCCAGTTGTACACCACTGGTTGAACCTTTGAAGCTCATATTTCAGGGAATATAAGGCCTACTATCATACATTATATGTACCAAATTTTATTGAGATCGGTTAATAGATTCCGGAGATATAAATAAAAAATCTATTTTTTTTGACAACTTCAACACCCTGTATCTCTAAAACGGTGCCGTTCCAGACCTATGTTTATAAGGCAAACACATATTATTTTAAAGAGATCTATCTGCCCTCGAAGTTTCCTGCATAAAATTCGGACCACCCTGTATATGTGTATACAGGGTGTCCCGAAATTCATGCAACAAAATTTGGTCACATATTCTTAAGACAAATTTAGGAGACCCGTACTTTTTATTGTTGCCAAGTGGCTCCCTCTTTCGGAGTTACAGCCCCCTGAATTCCGCCCCTAAGAATAATCTTTTTTTATATCTCAGAACCCTGTTGTACGAGAATCACTAAATTTGGTACACAGGGGGTTCATGACATGTGGAATCTGATGGTGCAAAGTTTTTTGGCGGGGAACCCCCTTAAGACAATTTTTCGTGGGCCCCCTTGTCTTTGGAGCCAAAAAAATTTGGTCGCATATTTATATTTCTTAAAAATTACCAGTCTACGAGAAAGCCATTAAATTTAGAACCTTTTTGTCACTTTATACTTTTTTCGTAAAACGCTGTTTTCGAGAAAAATGTCAAAATGTGATCGAATGCATATCGTGATTCGCCATTTTCCTCAAAAACATTGCGTTTTTCGAAACAAATATCATGAGACAAAAAAGTTTCTAAATTCAATGGCTTTCTATCTTACCAATAATTAAAAAAAAATCTAATTTGCGACCAAATTTTTCTGGTTCCAAAGACAAGGGGGACCACGAAAAAGTGTCTTAAGGGGGTTTCTCGTCAAAAAGCCTAGCACTGTGAGATTCCACATGTCATAAAACCCCTGTGTACCAAATTTAGTGATTCTCGTACAACATGGTTTTGAGATATAAAAAAGACTTCTTAGGGGCAGATTTCAGGGGGCTGTAACTCCGAAAGAGGGGAGAAAAATACGGGTCCCCTGAATTTATGACCAAATTTTATTGCATGAATTTCCGGACACCCTTTATATGTAAATGTAGAGTAAAATTTGATACCTGCGGAAGAGGTGAACCACATCCTCCTAGGGACAAACCATCATGAATATCCTGCAAAGTCGTCTTTGTTGATAACACCTTTTTACAGGCTTCCCTGCACTTAATATTATTTGATTTATCACAGCAATGAATATCTGAAAATAAAAATGATGACCACTTTGAACTTAGAAAATAGTATTAATGATATTAAAGAAAACTGGTTAAACAATTTCTGAGCTGATTGGCACGTTCGGTATAGACTTTTTGACATTGGTGCAGGAAGACACGTCAGTACGAAGTTTAAAAAGCACAAGTATCGTTTCAAGAATAACAACTTAGAAAAGTCAGCAGTTGCTAATATGTATATTGAACATGTGATAGACCTAACTAATACCAGAATTCTAGTGATAGAGAGAACATTATGGACAAGACTGTACAGGTAGGTAATAGCGATGTAGAAAAATCGAGATAATTTCAATCGAGATGAGTTAGAACTACCATGAATTTTGAAATAACTCATCGGAACAATTAATGACAAAACGACGTGGGCAAATGTCTGCCTGGAATGCCATGTACATAGCAAATATAAATACTAATCAGAAGAGTTTCTTATGAAGAACGGAGCGATACTTCTTTCGAAAAGTCAAAAAACCTAAAGTGACACATGGCAACCAATCCCAAAATTGTTCAGTAGAATGCTATCTTCCTATGTACAAGGATGTACCGAAATGGGCACCTGTTAAGAAAACACACAAAACGATAAGACATAAGCATTGTACTCCAAAGCCTTTGCATCACGAGTATTTGCAGCAAAATATGCATGGAGACACATTAGCACAGGTTAAAGAGCACAAGTGTTATCTAATGTACATCAGCGGATAGAATTCATCATGTGAATAACATTAAACTGATACCTCTGTCAATATATTTAAGCAATTCAAAGGTTCTGTTAAAAGAAAACAGATTTTGATCAAGACTGCAGAGAAGCAGCAGAAATCCCAGGTATATCAGTAATGTCAATCGAGAAACCGCTTGAAACTACATGTAATATGGAAGATTACAGACTTAAAACTATGCACCAAAACGCTATAAACGTATAAATACAGGTAAGAAATCGGGATCATTACAGTTTCTTTTAAAGAAGACATGTCTTCCGAAATATCAAGAAATCTAAATCGACGACAACTCGGAAATTACTTAACGGTTTTCCAAATTTTTTAACTTACGTTCATGAATATTTTTCACAGGAGTAACTTTAACAATCTCCTTAACACAGTCGGTAACTTTGGGACTACCCATTTCGCAAAACTCCCTCAAGTTTTGCCGTTGAGATTTCGTAGGAGTTAATTCACTACGGAAAATGTCTGTACATGCATCTTTGCACTCCTGGCTTCGTGCATTATTGCAGCAATCTTCTCCAACTACAACAGAATTATTCAATATGCTTTTGAAAATTAATTATAGGACATTTCTCGAGACATTTCTTCTGTTCTTTTCATTTTCAAGCACTAGCGCTTACCTTTTTGGCGATCTAGACAACTAAAAAACGCTATTTCGTCGCTCTGCCTGCAACCTTTGTTGAGATCAAAAGTTGATGTTGCAGTTATGCAAGCTTTTCTACAACTCTCGCTGTGTGGAAGTTGACAGCAAATTCTGCCCGACCAGGAGTCTCCCCGAGATATATCTGTAACAAAATTGCAATATTAATTACGATCAATTTATTTCAATTAATAATTATGTGACAATGATACAAAATCTAGTACTTGTTTTGCTTTGAAACTGAGAACCGATAACTTTATTTATTTCATATTATTTTATATTAAGACATTGATTTATTTTTCTATACAGTCGTCACTTATTGTTAAAGCTAGACATTTTTCGGAACTTAAGACAAATTTCGTAGAACTCTCCCTCCTGTTTGCAAAACCATATTATGTTTACAGTCAATTTTAATAGATCACTAATTTTAAACCGCTTTTTGCTCAAGAAATACTTAAGACTTTTAAACGGAGTGAAAATCACTACGTGCTAAATCTGGACTATATGCCGCATCTCTTACCTGAAATGCTAAAACAATGATTGAGTAAACATAGAAGCGGTTATTTCACAAAAGCACAATTAAGTCGTCGATGGTTTGTAAAATATGCTAAGCAATATTTTTCATGATGTAACTCGAATTCTCTCTACAAGAATAGTATAAGAATAAAAGTTGGAATTTTAAAGTGTATTTTGACCCACATTTCAAAAAGAAAACTAAAGTCCAGTACTTTGAGTCTCGGTTAAAGCTCGATTAACTAATCAGGCGATTAGACTGTACATATACAGATTTATTTTATAAATGATAATCACAGTCTAATCGCCTGATTAGTTAATCCAGCCTTAACCGAGACTTAAAGTGCAGGGCCTAAATGTAGTATTTCCGAGATACCGGGTGTCCCATTTTAAAAAATACACGTGAATATCTCTTAAGTTAAGGGCTTAATGAAAAAAAATTTCAAATAAAAGTTGTAGGGTTTTGAGGGGGACATCTAATGGTGACCTTGACCATGACCTTCAAGGTCAAGTTGATTTTTTCAAATGGGAACACATATTTTTGACACTAGAAATGAAAAGAGCAGAAAATACATGATGAATTTTTCGAGACAAATCTGGTTCGGGCTGAGGTAGTACAGTATTGGGGGTCATGAAGGCTTGCAAAAAATGTAATAAAATTTCCATGGTCGTATTTAAAAAAATGAAGTTGATGATGGTCCTGAAAAGACGAAACGTTACATATAAAAATTGATTATGTCATTCGATACATGGCAAAAAGTTGCCATGAGAAAGTGTTTTTCTTTTTTCAATATCAAACAAGGCTAAAATGAAACAAAAACGGATTTCCAAAATTTTGGCTTTTTTCAAATATATCGAAAACTATAGTCTTTAGAAATGAAAGAGAGTAATAAAAGTTTATTATGTATGCAAATTGTAAATAAATTTAGTACTGGTTCTTATATTCAATATTTTTATATTATGTATTATCGATATAGACGAGGTGTACTTTTAAAAAAACTTTTTGTGACCGGGTTGTACTAAATTGTAGCAGGTAGCTAAAATTTAATCCCCGACAATCCGTCTTTGTCTATGCCGCTTCAATTTCTCGGTCCATTTCTCTTATAAGTAAACAATATAAAAACAGCATTTCAAAACATGAGGCTACTTTAAGCATCATAACCGGGTTAAGAGGGTTTTTAGTAATTCAAATAAAATTATTCAATATTATTATCAAAATATTTATTTAAATTTAATGAATAGACTTTTATTCCACACAAAAATATATGTATTTTGAAAATTCAAATTATGGTGAGTAAATGTAGTGTTGTATAAATGTACAATAAAGAAAATAAAAAAGTAGGTATATTAAAATTCATCCTCTGAATATTCTGATGAATTATCTTCGTCTCCTAGATTGATAACGATAGGTTCCACAGTAACGTCAATTAAATTATCGAGTTCCCACTTTTCCATGATGTCGTCAACACTGTTGGTAGGATTTTGGTGTTTCAATGCATTAAATACATTTAATATAATAATCTTCTCATTCTGAGACAGCGCACATCTTTTCACGCGTTTAGCAGGTACGTAATCTGATAAGCTCGACATTTTACCCAAACAATATTATATCCACTGGCACAATAGTCACTAAACACAAGTCGAATTTTACTCTACTGCACTAAGCACGTCTTCGTATTTTCAGCTCTAAGACTGGATTGATCTGTCACAATACACTGGCTCCTGCCCTATGATGTATCCAGTAAAATATACTAATGTACACCCATTACCTGTTAGCATTAGTGTTACCCGATGATTACCTGAAACGAAATATTACCACGCCCATGGCCGGTTCTTATCTCGAGGTTTTATTACTCTCTTTCATTTCCAAACAGACTATAATCATGGCTAGTTCGTATCTCTTACCGTTTTCGAGATCTCTGTAATGAGAAGCGAATTTGTAACAGCCTGTTTCATACAACAAATAATCTCTGCAACAAGTAGATTCACTAGTAATGATATAAATTTTATAACTTCAAAATCAACCATTTACGCGTATTAAAAGTTGTATATTTTGTGTGTAATCAAAAAAACAAAACATTGCTAAGATACAAATAGAACAGTGGCGGTTTTACCATAAGAGCTGCGGAGCTGCAGAACACATAAAATTTTATGTATTTAATCATATTAAATGTCAACAAAATATTTAAAGAATCCAAATGTACTCGCGCTAAAATAAATCTAGGAGCTTATATTATTATTTATAGCGACGCGAGCTACGCTCCTTAATATATGCAACCTCATATACACAATGTGTGGACAGCGAACAATTATATGCGTCCTTTGTTTTTATTGGCTGATCAGGCACGTGACCCAGTACACGGAGATAGGGGCTTTTGCGGCTGCAATAGTCACAGCGCTGCAGTCTGCACTCTGTAGTAAATGCACTAATGCAGTAATATTTCGTACGTGGTATGTGGTGGTTTATTTCTGCGAGCGGCACGTGTGAATATTTTCGTTTAGGCATCTACGGATATTATAGTTATTAAAATGAATAGCGTTTCGTTTAAAAAAAAACTTTGGTTCTCTGCCTTATGAGGATAAACTAAAAATAAAAGAAGTAAAAGTTATAAAAAAACAATAATGTATACACAAAAGCAGAGTGGGTGTGCGGGTGTGATTTAAAATATTCACTGTTTTGTTTTCCGTGCTTACTTTTCGGTGGGGATAAAGCATGGACAATATACAGTGTGAAAGATTTAAGTCATTACGTCTTTAGGTAAAATAAACATAAGAAGTCAGTTAGATTCTGCATATTGGGATAATATACGGAAACATATGAACAGGTAATGAAAAATCGTCATGTATTATTTAAAATCATAGATTGCATAAAATTTTGCGGAGCTTTCGAATTAGCACTTCTCGGACACGACAAGACAGAAAATTCGGACAACCCTGATGTGTTTCGTGGACTCATAAATTTTAGTGTAGATCTTGACGACATTTTAAAAGAACATCTAGCCACATTGGTATGACCGGGATTTTCTGTGATTGTACCGGGAATTAGCAGTATGGTCCCGGATTTCGGATTTGCACGTATAACTCCCGGAATATAATATAATGCACATATATATAAAAAAAGATAAAGAAAAAATCATAACACGCCGAGGAAAATTAAAATTCGTTGAATCGTTGGTAAATTTCACAAACGATTTTTTTTATAAACAATATTCAATAATTTAATAAAATATATTTAGTTTATTCCAAATTATTATACCATCAGTAGGTAATTCGTAAATTGATATTTCAAAAAGGTATCAATTTCAAAAATCATTCTTGTGAAAATCTGTATTTTTTTTCATTGTTCCTTGAAATTCAGAAGTGCCAGGAAAACGCGTGACCTTGAAAATTTTAAAATTTTTCACCTGCGGCGCCATTTAGAGACTCCGGGCACTTAATATCCCGGAATTCAATTCAACAAATGTAACAACCCTAAGCAGAACACATTCAATCAATGTTCACGCGCCGCCACTGAAATAGAAGATTTTAGGATTCGTAAAATCAGTAAAGCATATAGCTAGTTCAATATTTCACTCATCTGTTTATTGCTTCTGAAAATAGTAGCAAATACATTTGCTTTATTGAATATCCAGTGGAAAATTCAACTGAGTTATCGACACCGATTAATCAGATTGAGGTAGGACTGTGAAAGAATCGAATAGTAGTTTGTGGAATGTAACACAGAGACGTACTCTCTTATCACCGCATGTGTGATTTACATGTAAAATATACTTAACGTGTACAGAATTTGCAAGACATTAGATACTTTGAGTCTAAATATGTATGTTCCATTAAATCTTAATGCATTAATACACATTATTATTGTTTCTATATATGATTTTTCATAAGGAAAAATTATTTTCCAACAGTGTTGGTAGAATAATATAAAAATTAGGTAGCTATATCTTAACTTAAGTAAATGGGCCAAGAAAATGAAGGTAATAGAACAGGTTCCCGTTTTTTTTTGCCAGTGTTGGGGATATTTAGTGATTTGGTAAATGTTGATCAGGAGTTAAAAGTGTTACAAGGTGTTACGATTATGAAGTGATGTAACTTTCTTCATTATTTACAGGATTTTTATACAGGGTGTCCCACTTAACTTGCCCGCCCCGCTTATCTCGGATAGTTTTGCAGATATAAAAATATTGTTGAAAAAAAAATGTTGTTGTGTTTTTTATTTCTGTTTGTAGCAACAAAAAAACAATTCAAATTTAAATATCGATGTGACAGATACACCTTATTATTATTTTTAAAGGAACACCCTGTAAACTATTATACATTTCTGTGGATGCAAAATTTTATTCTGAACAAAAGTATAACATATGAGGCACTATGACAGTTTTTGATATATTTGCATAAATTTCACTGAGTGGAGTGTAGGCGAGGCATAACATTTTAGCCTTCCCGTAGTCCAGATCTTAGTCCACTGTTTTTTTTCTTGTGGGGTTATTTAAAAAATAAAGTATATACTAACAGAGTAGAAGACGTAAATCAATTAGGTAATTGAAAGAATAACGATCGAAATTGCGAATATCAATATTAATCCAGACGTATTAGAAAATGTGATCGCATCAATAAAAAGAAGATATGAAT